AAAACATTCTATTGCTAAAAGAACAAGAGATGTCTTGCAAATGAGACCACTTGTTTTCGTGACAAACAAATAATGATCCTAGAGCCTCACTCTGTCTAATTCTTGTACCTCTCTACTAGGTTAAAATTTGTGGAGGGAAAATGTCATGCAGGCTGGCAATGGGGTTAAAGCATGGATGCCTACAGTATATCAATATAAGCATTTCCTTGAACAAAGAGGCACCAGCATTATACACATCTTACTGAAATAAAATACATTGTTGTTGTTTAATATGGTTTGGCATCAGGTTGGTGTCAGTTCTTAGAGACACAATGCAGATAGAACTTCTCCAGGATGATAGTGTTGTGGCCCATACGCGGCCTGTGCGGCTGGTAGCTGATTTGGCCAGTGAGGAGGCTGGTGTGATGCTGCGTCAGCAGCCTGTGCAGCTGGCACTCGAGTCGGACAATGAGGCTGGAGAAGATGTGGTGCCAGAGGCGGGCATTCAGCCAGGGTCTTGGGAGCCTCCAGAAGCTCCCTTAAGTGAAGAGGACGAAGAGGAGGAGCCTCTTCTCGATGCATGGATGCGCAGAGCTGCCAAAAGGCAGGAGTGGCTCCTCAGGAGGAGGTCTCCTCGAGAGTAAGGCTTGGGGCTAATTGGCCACTTCCTTAGCCTATTTAAGGAGAAACGCCGACTGAAGCAATTTGCAGGGAGCAACTTCGTTCACTCTCCTTCGTGCCTTGATCTTAGTTCTCTGCAAATTGCTTCTGGGCTTTCTGCCAACCATAGTAAGATTAAGATTATTTATTCCTTGGATTCTTGTAGGCTGTTAAGAAAGTTAATTAACAGCCTTGGTTTGGAAAAAAAAACTGTTTACTTTAGTAAACTAAGGTTTGTACAGACTTTGTGTGTGCTGCGTTCTTTGGGGTCCGTAGCTGGGGCAGAACAGATAGGTCTCCGATTTAGCCTTTTACGACTTCCAACTGTGCCTATACAGGTAGTCCTCGACTTAAAACAGTTCATTTAGTGACCGTTCAAAGTTACAACGGCACTGAATAAAGTGACTTATCCATTTTTCACACTTACAACCTTTGTAGCATCTCCATGGTCATGTGATCAAAATTCAGATGCTTGGCAACCAATTCATACTTATGACTGTTGCAGTGTCCCGGGGTGATGTGATCACCTTTTGACAAACAAAATCAATGGGGAAGCCAGATTCACTTAATAGCCATGTTATTAACTTATTAACTGCAGTGATTCACTTAACAACTGTGGCAAGAAAGGTTGTAAAATGAGGGCAAGACTCACTTACCAAATGTCTCAATTTACAACAGAAATTTTTCGCTCAATTGTGGACATAAATTGAGGACTACCTGAGTTGCTGCTTTGTCATTGAGTGCATCCACCTTGTTGTTGGTTGCTCTCTTCTTTAGAAGTACCTGTCAATGCAGATTAATGCCCACAGTCCCCAAAAGAAACCAAGGATCCTTGCAAAACTTGCACAAATATCAAAGACCAGAAGGCTGAAAAAGCAAAACATTCGATAAAAATAAAAAGATGTATTTTGTGCTGTATAGCTTTACTTACAACTATAGCGGGTGGTGCGATGATTAAGACGCTGAGCTTGTCGGCTAGAAAGCCGGCAGCCCAGGTTTGAGAGCCGAGTGCCATGCAACAGGGTGAGCTACCATCTTTGCCCCAGCTCCTGCCAATCTAACAGTTTGAAAACATGCAAATACGAGTAGATAAATAGGTACCACTTTGGTGGAAACATAACAGCATTCCATGATGTCGTGCTGGCCACATAACTGCAGAAATGTCTTCAGGCAATGCTGGCTTAATGGCCTTGAAACAGAGATGAGCACCACCCCCTATAGTTGACAATGACTAGCGGAGTAAAATCCACAGGGACTCCTATAACTTTACTTAAACTTGAATTTTGTTCAAAATTTGCTTTGGAAAGATAAGCATATACTTTTAGAAGCTGACAATTGAGATTCAGGATGTAGAACCAGTTTTATGATGATACCTATATATTTTATTATCTAGCAAGGGTTATGTGAGATTTTTTTAAGCTTAAGTTCTAAAGCAAGTTTCCATAAATACTATATTTGGATTAAACTCTACTTTTTCTTCAGTGTTTCTCCATGGGCCTTTTCTTTAAAAGAAAGTTCAGCTAAAAGGGATACAAAGCAACCAATTAGATTAGTTCTAATTCTTACTTTATGATCTCGCATTGTAATCCATCTGGCAAGTCCCGATACACCCAGTTCTTATAAATGATGGCACACACGTGCTTCTATCCGTGATTTTTATTTTTAGCTTTCACAACCTAGTTCTATTTTTTGCTAACGAAAGGGTTGTTAAGAAGGGGAAATTGTGGGAAGACAGAAGAGCAGGCAGCTGGAGACGGTAAGCAGGGTTTGTACAAAGTGGGGGGGCAGGTGATGCATACAGGTGCAAAAAGGTGTGATGCTATTTTGAGTAAAATAAAATATGTATTTCATATAGTTAATAAAAAATGGAGCACAACTATTTTGATGACACCGCTTGCTGTCTACTGCATCCCCTTGTGGGTCAGGAAAGATTATCTAAAATAACCTGAAAAGAAAGCACGACTCCTTAACGGGCAAAACTGGCATTGTCAATAAAAATACAATTGTGTAAAATGAAATACCAGCACTCCAATTATTATTTCTTTGCTCCTTTCCCTTTGGAAAACAACCATCAGCTCTGAAGCAAGCAGTGCTTTGCCTTCTCTTCAATAAACCATCAGTGGATCCAATAAAACGGGATCCATTTTCATCAGGTCTGCAATTTTTCCTTGGTAAGAATCTTGCTGAAAAGATGGTGGGCCTATAGCCGTTGAAGACTTGGAAGAAGCCAACTATCTGTACCATTTTAAGTTTGGTTTTAGGTTGAGTGATAGTACCATGATAGCATTAATCACATTGATTGATCATCTTTGCAGGGTTCGAAGTGGGAAAAGTGCATTCATTCTGGCCCTTTTGATCTTCCGGTGTCTTTCTGGTTTTTCTGATCATGGTATCCTTCTGGACCAGCTTGAGGAACTGGGACAGTATGGGAGGAGCTTTAGTGATCCAACTCTCTTCTCCAACTCTGGCTTCAGTCACTGGTGTGGGTAAGGTCCAACTCTAGATACTCTGCAAAGCAGGATGACTCAGAGCTCAACTTTTTCCCTATTCTTATTTAACATCTATATAAAACTGTTGGGTGATGTTATCCATAGGCACATGTTTAAATACCCGGTTTCCCCCAAAATAAGACATCCCCTGATAATAAGCCCAATCGGGCTTTTGAGCACATGGCAATAAGGCCAACCGCTTATTTCAGGGTTCAAAAAAATATAAGACAGGGTCTTATTTTGGGGGGAACACGGTATCATCAGGTATCATATGATACCTAGCTATATATCTCGATCATGAACTAAACAAGTGATACCATCATTTTTTTTTTCCTGTGTCTGAAAGCTGTAAGAATCTGGATCCTAAACCCAAACAAGACTGGTTGTGGTTCTGGTTTTAGAAACTTCCCTGGATCTGATGACACTTGATTTTTAGTTGTGGATGGCAGTACTTTTGTTTAGACAGAACTCTTTGCAATTTGGAGTACTCGCAATTCCTGCCTGAGAAGCAGGAGGTAACTGTGACCAGGAGGACATCTGCCCCAATCCATATTGTACACCAATTGTGCCCATTTCTGGAATTGGGAGGCTCTGCTCCTGATCATTCATGCCTTAGTCACATCCTGATTGAACTATTCTAATGATACTCTGCTTCTAAAGGGCCCAAGCTATTCATAAAACAACAGCTAAAGTAAAGACAACCAGGTATAATTTGTTATAGGTTTCGATTATGTGAATAAATTCTAGAGTTTAAGATCTTGACATGCACATACAGCAGGCTAACTATCACAGCAGAATTTACACATTCAGGGATGATACCCATTGTTTTTCTTCATGTTAAGTGTTTTTCCTCTTCCATCAAGCTAATTCATATTAGACAACTCCATTAGAAGAAAAAAATATATGATGTATACTAAATGCAATAGCCTTTCCATAGCCAACTAAGCTAAAGCCAATCAAACGATATTATGTATATGCTTCCAAATACAGTATGCTACTTCTGCACTGCACAATTTTTTTTTTCCAGGACAAGCGGCCTCATTGGCTGTTGAATGAGATGCTACAGCTGCATATCCAACCAAATTAATTAACTTAAGGCGATTTCCCCTTTAGTTGTGTATTTAATAATGTTCTCTTTCAGTTCCCCTAAAATTGCAGTTTGGTGACAACTTTGGAAGAGGGTCTGGGAGGTCACCTTCAAAGCCTTTGAGGATTGACGTATAGTCTAAGAACCTCAGATTTTGTTCCTCGGGATAATAGCAGTTTTAGTTCTGTGCATATATTGGGGAGTGGGGTGTGTTGGGAGGAGGAATAAAGATTTGAATGACTACATGACAGTCTGCATTTTTAATATTTTTATGGATAATTATGGGATGTAATCTTAGAATGATATCTTGGGTGCAGTGGTGAAATCCTCCAAGGTTTGCCACTGGCTCGTGGTGCGTGCATGTGCGGTGCCTGCCAAACGTGCACTGTGTGCGCATGCATGTAGTGTGCACCAAGTGCACGCTGAACACACATGAGCACCACAGGTGCTACCACGCAGTGTGGAAAAAGGAGGCTTAAAAAGGTAAGTAGAACAGCGAGGAGGGGAACAGCTGTGCCGCGTGATTTAGATTCACTAGAAAGCAGGATTTCGTGCTTTCTAATGAATATAAATCACACGGCACAGCTGATCATCGGAAATACCAGTTTGGACGAACTGGTAGCACTTTTTTTACTACCAGTTTGTCCGAGCCGGTAGCTTTTATTACTACCAGTTCACCTGAACTGGTGCAAACTGGTAGCATTTCACCCCTGCTTTGCTGGCAGCAGACTATAATCCTTCCTCTCTTCTTAGTTTTTTCTAAAGTAAGCAAGCCAACAAAAATAAACCATTGAATCTTAATTGCCTGCCAAGTTATACTTTTACAGGTATGTGTTACGCAATGAAAAAACATTGTACAGTTGGAGAGTTTGAAGGGGTTTTTTTCCCTTGCAACACAGCTCTTGCGTAAACTTATTCACTGAGAATTCTAGCACGATCATGTACAGACTCAGATTCCTAACAGCAGAGTGCACTCTACTACAAGAAAAACACAATGACCGCAAACTTTTTCTGGCTCTTGTTATGTTCGGAATGATATGGAAAGTAGCTATACTGGATGCAGGGGTTGTAAACTATGAATCTTCTTAGATGGCTTTCTGACTAGTGAACAATTATGTGCATGGCTAAAATAACGAAGGGGAAGGGACGAGCAACCTTGAAGAGCTCCTGAGTCATATAGAAGACCCACAATTGCTGCAGAGGACTTTATCTTGCTGGATGAGGAAGCCCTTTCCCACCAGGGAGCAGGCGCATTGGCTGCACTTGAAGCAGTCGCTGTGCCATTGGCGCTCCTCAAACGAGATGAACTTGCCTCCTCCAAGAGCTAAAAGGAGAAAGCAAAAAATGAGATGTTGGGATTGCATGCGGCTTTTGGCAGATTTTGATTAGACTCTAATAAGCAGAGTTTTTTCTTCTATTTCTTTTGTTGTTTTGGTCTTCTGGCTTTGCAAACATATGATCCAACCCTGAATTACTATGTTCTCAAATGCCTGATTATTTCATTTTTCTCTTTAGAGGCACAGATTCTGAAAAAAGAATTATTTTTAGGCATTTTGCCACGAACTCCCCACATTCACAGGGAAAAACCTGCTTGCTATCTCAGCAATGGATCCCCCCATGCACTGACATGATAAATGGCTGAAACTGGTTAACTGAAGCCCAGCCCAACCCAGACCCTCCCTCCCTCCTCCAGTAAAAGCAGCAACATTTTTTCTTCTTTCCCCAATTCTGCTCTTCCTCCAACGAGTAATTCAGTCGAATGTGCTTATCCCTTTCCACTCCAAATTCCAACCTGTTGGTAATTAAACCTGCAATGTTGTGGTGTCAGATACAATGAAAAGATTAAAATCATGTTTTCTAGTGCCACCACATATTTCAGATCACTTTCTATCTAGCCTGAATATCATTTAGTCTTATTCATGATGGAAAATTGTGACATTGCTATCTGATCTTTCATATGCTTTCATGAAGTAAGGAATGCAAATGCCAGCTATGCCTAGAACAAATTTATTTCTCCCAGGACTGTCAACATTGAAGTTACTTATATGCAAGAAGATTAAGAACAGTCACCAGTAATGGGTTCGGTGCAGGCCACACACTTCTTTGCAAAATGTCCTCTGAAGCACTCCAGGCAGTAAGGAAGTTCATCTTTGGACATGAATTGATGTTCTGCAAGTTGCTTCTTACATCCAGTACATAGAAAACATTCCTTATGCCATGGCTGGTCATGGTAAGTCACCCCACCATTGGTGACCGTCTAGTATATGAGAAAATATCATTAGTGTAAAATGATGGATTGACATATGGTTGTACCAAAATTACATTAAATACTGTGTTTTCCTGAAAATATGACCTACTCAGAAAGTAAGTCCTAGCTTGATTTTTACACATGCGCCCAAAATGAGCCCGAATTAAGACCCTGCTCACTCCCGGATGCATGGGTAAAAATTAAGCTAGGGTGAGGGTAGTGGAGCTGCCCTAGTTGCAGCCAGTCCTCGGCCCATTTCTTCTGCAGCCAGCAGAAGAAGAGCTTTTCTGAAGGCCGCTACAGCCGATAACAGAGCTCTGGATCGATCCAGAGCTCTGTTATTGGCTACACAGGCCTTCAGGAAAGCCTTGCTGGCTTGCAGAAGAAATGGGCTGAGGTGTGCAAGGCGTGGCTACAACTATCCTAAAGGCTTCTGACAGCTAAAAGGAGGCCGGGGGCGATGCACGCAAGTGAGGTGCATCAGTGGATAACATCCCTCCCCCCAAAATAAAACCTGGTGCCTTTTTTGATGGCAAATATATATATATATATATAAGACAGGATCTTATTTTTGGGGAAAGATAAGTAGTTATTACTGCCGCTTGATCAAATTTCAAAAAGAGATAATGAGAATATTGAGGAAAGCACTATAGGCAGTCCTTGTTCAGTGACCACCTCGTTTAGAAACCGTTTGTAGATACAAACAGATTGAAAATGTAACTTTGCAACCATCTCTTGCATTTATGACTTTGCAGGTTTGCAAAGGAAAGCTGAAGTAAGCTCATAAGGACAATGGTGGGTTCACTTAGCAACTGCTTTGCTTAATAACTATGTTGCCAGTTGTTCACAACTGCTATTTGGGGTTGCTAAATGAGGACTATCTGTATCACAGTGTCTGAAGAACTAAGCCTTTTTCAATTAATATCTCCCTTTTCCTTCTCTTTAGGGTAGTGCTGAGGAAGCAACAATGCTCCAGATGTCGATAAATTATACCGTAGCAGCTTCAACCGGCATAAAGCCGGTTATTGTCCAGTTCGCATGGTGGTTTTCATCTGTATTTTATTTGCTTTTATTGTATGAGGTGGTATCGGGGTGAAATGCTCCCGGTTCGGACTGGATCGCCCAATCCGGTAGCGATGGCGGCGGGTGGTTCGGAGAACTGGTAGCAAAAATCCCTGCGGCATTTTTTTCTGCAACCTCTTGGTTGAAGAGGTGGTAAAAAAAAAATGCTTTGAAAATTCTCTGACGATCCCAGCTGAGTTGCCTGATCGACAGAGGCTTTTCAAAGTATTAGAAAAAATGCTTTGAAAAGTTAAAAAAAAAAAAGTTGGCCACGCTCACCCAGTCACATTATGGCTGCCCCCACCAAGCCAAGCCCACAGAACCGGTAGTAACAAATTTTACATTTCACCCCTGGGTTGTATTCCAATTATCTCTTTGGATTTCTTTCATTGTAAATCACACACACACACACACACACACACACACACATATATATATATATATCTGACAAATAAGTATATTCTCACTGTGTTCATAGAGTTTATCCCCAGTAAAAGTCACTTTTTAAATTAATGCCTGCAAGGCCACTGTACGACTCATCCCTTCTCTGCTCCCTGCTCTTATTTTCATTTCCCATACTACCTTTTTGCAGGAGTAGCAATATTGTGCAAATTGCTTCTCATAACAGGGTACACAGTAATTGTCATCATCCTTGGTAATCAAAGGTTTCATTCCTAGTGGTTGCCGGCAGTACCGGCAAACAAAGCAAGCTTCGTGCCAACAATTGCCTTTAAATTCCATTTTACGAGAACCTGCAAATTGAATTGTAATCCCAGTTACTTTCCTGGCAAACAGCTCTTCTTTCTTTTTTTTTTTACTGAATCCACTGAAACAAAGATGCAGTACAGTTAGTCCTCAATGTACGACCATAATTGAGCCCAAAATGTATGTTGCTAAGTGAGAAATTTGTTTTCTCACTTAGTGAGAATGAGTTTTGCCCCATTTTATTACTTTTCTTGCCACATTTGTTAAGTGAATCATTACAGTTGGTAAATTGGTAACACGGTTGTTAAGTAAGTAAATCTGGTTTCCCCATTGACTCTGCTTGTCAGAAGGTTATAAACAGTGATTTTTTGTTCACTGTTTATGAACAAAAAACATGTCCATCGACCCCAGGATATTGCAACTGTCATAAATATGAATCAGTTACCAAGCATCTGAATTTTGATCACATGACCATGGGGATGCTGCAACCGTCCTAAGTGTGAAAAATGGTCATACGTCACTTTTTTCAGTGCCTTTGTAACTTCGAATGGTTACTAAGGGAACTGTTGTAAGTTGAGGACTACCTGTATTGAGGTACTCTTTCTTTACCAGTTGCATATAGCATCACATCACAAAGGGCACAAATTTGTCAATAAACACTTTCTGTCAAGATTTCTTTTGCACTGTAAAGATTTTCACAAACTAATCACAGGATATACAAATAATTTGTTGATAAGAGGGCCCTACAGTTTATGAAGTTTGCTTCAACATATTTCTAGTAACTTTCTTTAAATTTCTTCAGATGTCAGATTCAAAAACTAACTCTCTCTCTCTCTCTCTCTCTCTCTCATATCTATCTATCTATCTATCTATCTATCTATCCATCCATCCATCCATCCATCCATCCATCCATCCATCCACATATATATTGTATACATCCACACAAATATACATCGGTTCCTTTGAGTTCCTGTAGTTTTCTTGGTAAGATCTTAGGTTGCCATTGCCTGTTTCCTAGGGTTGAGAGAAATGATTGGCCTAAGGACACCCAGTTGGTTTTGTGCCTAAGGCGGGAATAATTTCCTCACAGTCTCCTAGTTTTCAGCCTGGTGTTTTAACTATACACTCGAGTTTCCAAAGCACCACTATGGTGGTACCTTTTTGCAATTACAATTGTGTGGACACATGGTGAAATTAATGCTGAGATTTATATGCTGCCAATTTAGACAGAATCATGAAAGCTAACAACAAATCCATAGTAAAACAAAAATACAGTAATCACAATTGAAATGTCCATGGTAGCAATTAAAACTTCCAAATTAATGATAATTTGAAGAGTCCATAGGATTGGCCCTATTAACACTGTGAGCTAGGGCCATGCACCAGTGAATAATGTCATAATAATAGGATAAGTAGTATTTTAAATATATATTTTACCATCAGATAATTGGAACTTTACAGCATCATTGCCTCAAGGAATCGAAAAATCATTGTTTGAAATTGCTATGTGAGGGAGACTTTGCAAAGCAGAGGAAGACAATTAGAGAAAGACAATTAGAATAGTTTTCTTATATATGGAATAATTTGAATATAAGCATAGTGAAATCAATGTGTTCCTAATCAGTGAGTGAATTAAGTACCGTTTTAAAGATACAAGCATTGCAAATTGAGTCAGTACAGAATGACTTCATTTTAGCTTCAGTACTGTATTATTTTTAGGTTTACTAAAGACACCTGTGGCAAGACACATTTCCATGAGTTTCTTCTTCATTTTATTCATTTAACAAGAGGAAGAATTGCTGTGGATATGCTAGGAACTGAGATCTGCCTCTGTGTTTATATATCAGTATTCCTAATCTAAATCAACAGAAGAAAAGTTAATAATGTGCTTATCACTGACCTGATGGATGGCTGAAACTGGTTAATCGAAGCATGGAAGTGATAAAGCAAATAACAAAATGCAGCCAAAGAACAATGGTGAATAGATTTAGTGTGTTGTTATTGAATATGAGTTTGCAGGTGCTGTGCTAAGGGAAACTGTGAGCCTACACAAATATCTCAATGAGAAAAGCACAAATTGGAAATACAATTATAAATATCAAAAAGCAGGATTTCATCACGTTTCTCCTCTCTTAGTAATCAGGTTTCCACTGAAGACTATTCTTGACTAGCAAGTTTTTGAGAAGGGTTGTTATAGGATGGGATATATATTTTATAATTACTGGGTTCTTATTTCCGATTCTTTGGGCATCTATTGTTTGAAATAAAGTCAAAGTGAGCAAAGTAGCCTTTTCTTTATGGACAGAAGGAATGGATCATAACCATTTGGATTAAACACGGGGTGGGCTGCTGGGGGTTCACAGGGGTTTGGGAGAATCTTTAACTAAGATTCTGTACAGTTCAGAGTACCCCCAAATCCCATTCCTGGCTGGCCCTCCCCTCCCAGGACTCCCCACGTGGCCTGTTTTGGATGCAGGGCTTGCACGGAGGCTCAGGGAGGGCGAGAAATCAGAAATGGGCCTCCTGGAAGTTCAGGAAGGCCAGAAACAGGCGCATTTCCGCCCTCCAGAGGGCCTTTGGACCCTGGGGAGGCTGTTTTCGCCCTCCTGGAGGTTCAAGGAAAGCCTCCGGAGCCTGGGGAGGGCAAAAAGCCCTCCCTGCTGTGGTGCAGGAGGCCAATTAGGCCATGCCCACCATTGCCACGCCCACCCAGCAACCGGGCAGAGAATCCCTTGCTAAAATTTTGGAAGCCCACCCCGATTAAACACACAGACAGACACACAGACACACACACACACACACAAACCAAGATTTCAGCAAGCAGTGTTTAGTCTCCCAGAGTTTTTTTTTAAGGAAAGGACATCACATGGCATTCTAGTATCAGCCACTTCTGTTTGGTATACTTCAGTGACAATAATGGGACAACACAACTCTAAAGTGTAGGTAGTGTGTGAATGTATGTAAGTATAAATGTGTGTGTGTGTGTGTGTGTGTGTGTGTGTGTGTATTTGTTTTCCTAGATTTTCACAGGGTACAGGTATGCAAGTCTTGGTGTATTCGGGTCTTCTCCTGTGTAAGAAGACCCCTTGCATATGCCTGATGATGGCAGATGAGATTCTGCCAAAACGTTGCCAAAGTGCTCTCAATCTTACATGGGAGAAGACCCGAATACACCAATACATATACATATACATATACATATACACATACACATACACATATACATATACATATACATATACATATACATATACATATACATATACATATACATATACATATACATATACATATACATACACACACACACACACACACACAGTGTATATATCTATATCTATATCTATATCTATATCTATATCTATATCTATATCTATATCTATATCTATATCTATATCTATATCTATATATATGTTTTTCTTCTAGCCAGGTCAGTAGCCTGGCTTGAAGAAAAACACACATAAACCCTACGAAGAAGTAAGAAAATTGATATATATCTATATATATAGTTTTCTGAGTTTTTCGCGGGTGTTTGTATGTAGGTTTTTGGTTATTCGGGTTTTCTCCCGAGTAAAATTGGAAGTGTCTTGGCGACGTTTCGACGAAGTCTCATTTGTCATCTTCAGGCTGGTGTTTTCAGCTTCGTGCTTCTATGAGCAAAGGATTCTAGGAGCAAAGGAAAACACCAGCCTGAAGATGACGAATGAGACTTCGTCGAAACGTCATCAAGACACTTTCAATTTTACGCGGGAGAAAACCCGAATAACCAAAGACCTACATATATATAATAATATATAATAGGGCTGCATAATATCTTGGTTTACGTAGGTAGACCCTGGCTAAAGAGACATACACATAAAACCTACGAAAAAGAAAGAAAAACATACACACACACACACACACACACACACATGTACACATACATACACACATACATGTGTATACATACATACATACATACAGAATGTGAGAGGGCACTTTGAGAAAGAAACAGTGATACCAGTGGAAAAGAAGAGTGGGGAGAACTGCAATGAAGAATAATTTTAATTACAGTTCTATAAGAAGAAAAGGGACTACAAAACTCTATGGTTCTGATGTAGTAGAGACTATATCAGCAGTGACACATTTTACAGAGACACCGGCAATCATTTCCCATTATACTTACCCATCCCAAATGCTTGAAAGATGAAGAATTATTAATAGGTCATGGGATGGAAAAGAAATAGCTGATTTCTACAGCAACATATGGTCTATGCAGGGCACATATAATGAAGCATTTGCCTGAAAAGGAGAAGCCCTTGGAAGAAACCTTCCCCCATCAGATTTTTTTCCCCCTTACCAATTTCCATGAATCAAAGCCTCCAGGTTCAAGTGTCATCCCACCCTTTTCGTTTATTTATCTCCATTAAGGAATGCCCATCTCCAGCTCCCTATGATCTTACCAGGCATAATAGTCCTCTTGCAGTGAAAGCACTTAGATGAATATTCATTAGAATAACAAGTTGTACACAGCAGGCGCTCGTCTTTAGCTGCAAAAGGCTTCTCAACCAGGGAGTGGTGGCATTGGGCACACTTGAAGCACGTTTCATGCCAGTGGCAGCCTTTATAAGCAAAATCCTTGGAGAGAGTGAATAATAAAAAAAGCATTGGCTACTCTGATTCCAACTGAACAAAACTATGAGCTCTCGGACTTCACACCAATTGTTTAACAATGACCCGAAAGAAGATAATTTCCCTGTCTTTTATTCCTCTTCTTTTTTTTTTCTTCTCCTTCTGATGTTCTCACAAGGAGAACACTTGCAGATTGCACTTGTACCATGGTCTGCAAAGGAATCAGTAGTCTACTGTACAGCTAGTCCTTGTCTTACAACCACAATGGAGCCCAACATTTCTGTGGTTAAGTGAGACATTTGTTAAATGAGCTTTGCCCCATTTTACAACCTTTCTTGCCACAGTTGTTAAGTGAATCATTGCGGTTGATAAGTTAATAACCGGATTGTTAAGTGAATCTGGGCTGCAAAGGAATCAGTAGTTTACTATATAGGTAGTTCTTGATTTACAACCACAATGGAGCCAAAAGTTTCTGTTGTTACGTGAGACATTTGTTAACTGAGCTTTGCCCCATTTTACGACCTTCCTTGCCACAGTTGTTAAGTGAATCTGGGTTCCCCATGGACTTTGCTTGTCAGAGGGTCGCAAAAAGTGATCACAAGACCTTGGGACACAGCAACGGTCATAAATATGAACCAGTTGCCAAGCATCTGGAATTTTGATCATATGATCATGGGGATGCTGCAAAGGTCGTAACTCTGAAAAACGGTTGTAAATCACATTTTTCATTCCTGTTGTAACTTTGAATGGTCACTAAATGAACTGTTGTAAGTTGATGATGACCTGTATATCTTTAGGTTTGTTATGATTTTATGGTTTAAATTACCGTATAAGATGCATTGGAGTATAAGACGCACCTTAGTTTTTGGGGAGGAAAATAAGAAAAAAGCTGATTGGCAGGTGGATCGGTCTCCTGGAATATCCCCAATCAGCTGTTCCCAGAGGTGAATTTTAGCAACAGGTTCCTTGGCTGTGAGCGCTGTGCCTTGCTTTTCCCCCCTTTTTTTCCTGCTTTTTTTTCTGCCTCTGAAACCTCCGTTTGAGAAGCTGGGCGGGGCTACATTCAGAGTATAAGACGCACTCAGATTTTCACCCTCTTTTTTGGGGGGGAAAGGTGTGTCATATACTCTGAAAAATACAATAGTACTTTCCCTGCAAAGGATTCATGAAGAACATATGCCACTGCGGCAGAGCTAGAGCAGAACTAAAATATCTGCAATCAGCTGTTAGGCAGAGTGAGGCTTTTGCCTTGAGCAGCTGATGGTTGGTGGCTAAGAGAGGAAGGAAATGGAAGAACAGCCACACAACATCTTGACACCATTTAATCTAACCTTCTGCCCTCATTCTGGTTCTTTTGTTGTTGCACTGCTGAAATAGAGCTGGTCTGGTCAATTTTAATGCATGGAGTGTGAGATAAGACTTTAGTCCTTGCTTCAGATAGTAAAGTGACTGAGTTCATTTATAAATGTACTATATATAGCACTATATTTTTATACATACAGACATGTTTTGAGTGGTTCTACCCTATAGACTCCAGTGGAATCTGCAAAATAATAGATATTATCATCTTCAACATCATCTGACAAATGTCTATGGAGATTCTCAGTCATGGTTGTCCCAAAAGTGCTTTTTCAAGAGACTACTGGACTCTCTGGTATTTTTTCTTTGAAGCTTCTTGGATGAGAAGCGAAACGTCTTCAAAGAAAAACCAGAAAGTCCAGTTGCCACTTGAAACTGGGATGATCCCACTTTTGGGATCATCTGACAAAATTTGTATGAGGAACATAATTAAAAAAGAAAAAGAAATAGAGAAGATCTTGATAGTTATCCAGGGTAGTTCTGATTCAATTTGGCCACTAAGGATTCACAGAATATAATTTGTGTTTCAGTTACTTTGCTCCTAATGGGCATCGAGTTCCAAAGGTTTCTTCTCCAAAGCTTTCTGGAAATTCTAGGGGTCGAACTTTTGTCATGCAGAGTATCACCTAGATTTTTTCCTCGCTGTCCGATTTCACTTGATGATTTTGCAATTGTAATTCATTATGATTTATTCAATTTAGATACCACCTTTTTACTTAGAGGGCTATCAAGGCAGCTATTCATTGCTATGGCTGTTGTCTATGTGCATATAGGAGACAAGAGGTAAATGTATGTGTATGTGTATAAACATGTGCATTTATGTTTAGAGAGACTCAATGGAGTTATTGAAGATGCCTCCCTTCCTTGATGATAACTGCTAATAATTAACTATAGGAAGGAAGGAAGGAAGGAAGGAAGGAAGGAAGGAAGGAAGGAAGGAAGGAAGGAAGGAAGGAATTATTGAAGGATACTTTGAGGAAAGATGAAACCAAAAAAACCCTCCAAAGATATAGTTAGTGTATTCAGGCTTGCCCTATTCCTGGAACTGCAAGATATAAGAGATATATCAAAAAATTAAATTATCATTTAGCAAGTACAGTATTTTTTTTAACCAAAGACATCAATTTCTTCCTTTCTCTTCCTTTCTTTTTCTTAGATATCATGCTCACGTAGATAATGTTATAAACATAAAAATGATGAATGTCATTTTATTTTCTAGTGAAACTCCCTTTAAATCTTTGCAGTCAAATAGAGACCATTGGCAATATAGGGGAAAGGAAGTCATTTTTCACTAGCTATTTGTCAGTGGAATTTATTTTAAAGGTTTGGTTGATCTTATCAATTGAATGAAACCACGCATAGAAAAGAAAATCAATGCTGTTATCATTATGGAATAAATTGTGAGAATAAAACAAATACTTTTTTTAAAAAAGGGGGATACTAAGGGAGCTAAAATGTTGCACTGAAGTTAATACAACTATTTTATATCTTTCTAAAGCTTCTGCAGTCAGATGAAGGATGAAACCAATCCTATCTGATCTGTAGGGAATCTACGAACCATTAAAATTCTCTGTATCTCTCTAGAAGCTTAATCACATACTTGCCTTTGTGTCTGCATAAAATCTATAGATCTTAATCTATGTGTATACAGTGGAAGTAATATTTTCTTTTAATTGGATTGTATATTAATGTGTCAATGGATTATATATTACTGAATATAAAAACATCTTTATCAGGTCACAATGAAGCTCTATCTCTGTGCCAGCAATATTAGATATAAATCTTTATTTTAAATTTTTATAATGGACACTGCTGGACTATCAGCAGCAGATGGTCTTCAGGACAGGGGTGTGGATTCCATCTTTCATTATTCTCACTATTGGCCACACTGGTTGGGGTTCACAAGAGTTCAATCATACTAGACAAGTGATACAATACCTAAGAAATAAAAAGGTGAAATTTGCAGCTATCCAAATTCTACTTAATTCTGAATAAGCAGACTTGTGCAGTCAGGGAATATTTTAGGAATATCAAGAAGATGTTGATATTCTGTACTCTGCCATAAAGATCCTGCCTATTCAAAATGTAGTGGTTTTTGTGATGTAGCCAATCAGAAGACACATTCACCCAGGGACAACTGGTGAAATTGTTACCTGCAGGTCCCTGTCCTCTTCCAGGATTGTCCCTATCACTTCTGCCAACTTTAGCTTTCTGTTGCTTTGTTGACAGATCGAAAGCTTCCAACGAAAACATCCATCCATGTTTATTGTTCATTTGTATTAACATTTATGTGTTATTCTGTGGTCCAGAGATACATTTGGAAGTAAAGATGAATATTAGAAGCATGACTCCCTAATAATTACCAGGTTGCTAGCAATTTTTGCCAACAAAATAAAAGTGGATGCTAAATTTGCCAGGTGCTAAAGTAGATATCCAGGGTCACACTAGTAGCAGTTTGCTAATCTGCAGGTTATTTCATTTAGTACATCTACATCAGATAGTACAGAAAAAATGATTGTGTACTCCAGTGCTAAATTTGTTACCCAAATTAAATCAAATGTTTCCAAAGTTTTAAATACTAAATGATAACAACCTTCTGTTCCCTGCTGACTTAAAACATGCTGAAAATGAACCCATGAAGCTGGAAGATTCCAGTTTAGACAATCTAAGTTTCATCAGTTTCTGTATTAACATAAGAGTACCATTAAGAAGAATCTCCAAATTATTACAGAAGAAAAGATTCACATCACAAATAATAATTGGATAGATGAGCCTTTGGGTATTTTTTTTCCTCAGTGGGAGTATAGATGGTCATGAAACTAACTAGTCAGTGCTTACCTTTGAGTCACATTCAATGGCTTTCTTACATTTTTCACAAAAGTTAGCAAAGCAGCTGTCATAGCATTTCACACAGAAAGCGTTTCCTTCTTTCATGACGTATCGTTTTCCACAAAGTGAATCCTTGCAGTGAAAGCAGTTTGACTGAACACTGGCCATTTTTAAGCCTTTTGATGCTGCTGCAGATGGAAAGACAAGGCACGTATCAATGAAATAATATGGCTGCAAGAACAAGATTCTCAATTTTGGAAGTTCTGCACAGTCACAATGAGTCAAACCCCTCCCCCCAAGTTCTAATACAGAGGAAGGAACAATTTTAAATCTTCATTATTCTCATTGATGATTTCAGCAGATTTAGTCTGTCTTTTTCAATCACCCCACCCCCACCCCGGCTAGTCCCTTTAAAATATAAAAATTATACAACTTGTCAGTTTTTAACATTAAGCAGAGGATTCTTTATGGGTGCTAAATGATCTTCAATAGGACCAACCAAGATCAATAGAAAACTGATTGGCAGATTGCTATTTGGGGAAGTAGCATGAGACATCGGCCCCCATTTCTGGATATTTTTCAGAAATGCATTTCTAGAAAGATTTATTATCAGTCCATTGCAAATCTTCCTTATCCCAACACACCCACACATGTATATTTTTGGCCTGTTCAAACTGAGAAAAACACATTTACATAAACATTCAAACTTCACAATACAACAGAATCTTCAGAGGTTTGCAGGCAAGCTATTTTAGTCTCGTTATTTGCCCACTGGACCAGAAGAACTTTGCTAAAATTAGGGCACGGGTTCCTGAGAATGAAGAAATAAACAGAACCCAAAAGAATTCCCAGTGAAGCTGATCACAAGTGCATCTGCTGGATTCATTGAATTCTCACTATTATAATATCACCGTGCATAGGGTCTGTTATGGGCTTAAAAAAGAACTATCTGGAAAAAAACCCCAAGAAACTCCTTTCACATATTTAGCATAGGTGTGTAAACTGGTTCAAAGGGATGTGCTCTGGAATATGCCTTAGAAGAAATCAACCAAATGAAAACCTTTCTTCCATCTTTGTAGTCTTCTACTGATACTTCTTTATTTCTATATTTTTCTCCATGCATTAAATCACTGGTCATATGCTAGTGCTGGCTGGATAAAATAAATAAAATAAATATTGCCTGAACTCACTATTTTATTTCAGTTTTAATAATTCTACTCAGCAATTTTTACATGATGTATGACGATATATAACTCTTCTCATTTTGTGGGCATTCAGTTTTACTTTCTTCTGCAATGACCTATAGTATGCAGGGGTGGGCTTCAAAAATTTTAGCAAGGGGTTCTCTGCCTGGTTGCTGGGTGGGCATGGCCATGGTGGGCATGGCCTAGTCGGCCTCCTTCACCATGGTGGTGGTGTGGGGGCGTTTTTGCTCTCCCCTGGCTCCAGAGGCTTTCTTCAAGCCTCCAGGAGGGCGAAAACAGCCTCCCCAGGCTCCAGAGGCCCTCTGGAGGCCAGAAACGGGCCGATAACTGGCCTTCCTGAAACTTTCAGTAGGCCCGTTTTTCACCCTCCCCAAGCCTCTGTGAGTGCCCTGCACTTACCTGCCGCGTGGGGACTCCTGGGAGGGGTGGGCGGGGCGGGGCCAGCCAGGAGTGGGATTTGGGGGTTCTCTGAATTGCATAGAATCTTAGCTAGAGTTCCCCCGAACCCCTGCGAACACCTAGCAGCCCACCTCTGCCTGTAGTATGGTATTTATTGGACCGAGTTTGTTTGAGGGGGGGCAATGTGCTGACTCTGTAAATCACTTAGAGAGGGCTGTGAAGCACTGTGAAGTGATATATAAGTCTAAGTGCTATTGCTATTGTGAATTAACATTTTACATTGTTTTTCACTACTATCTATTTCATTTCTAAGTTCCCTGTTAAGTCCAATTCCTTCTTTCTCTCTCTCTTTCTCCCAAAGGAGAGGATGTGGCACGCAAGGAACCCTCACCTGCATTTTAAGTTATATTCCAACTGTAGAAGTTAGCACCCACTCCTTTCCTAGAAGAATGAAATATTTTAGGAAATATTAAAAAGGCAGAATATTATGTTTCCCTGTATGAGAAATGGAGAAACATGTTTTAAAGACAAAGCAGCTCCCTTTGCTTTGTCCATCCTTTGTTAATGGGCCAAAGGCAGAAACTCAATCTTTGTCAATGGACCATCATCTGCAACACAATAGCAACAGAAACTAACACAATGGGACCCATCTAGGACAGAAACTCACCACATGGCACCTGGGAAGATTACATCAGCCAGCAAGGCTAGCTAAGACCCCCAACCCCTGAAAGTCTGACAACCAATCAGGATACTCTTTCTGGGCCCTAGGAAGTTCAAAGCCAGAGAGAGCATGAAACCCAGGGACTCGCTGTATCTCATCCCTTTTTCTGTTCAGGAACTCAAACCAGGTGATCCTGTCCACCATTTAACCATCTTTCCAAGCAGTCTCCATGTTTCCAGTGTCTTTTTCCCCACTTGGAGCTGAACCCAGAAGGATAATTCTTCCTACACTAACCATTCCTTGTTGGGCTGGAAAGGAGAAGAGACTAAATCCAGCTTCCTATTCCTGAATGGGTAATTCAAAGTTTTACAAAGAAAAGTAAAACGTTCATGCACATATAGGTAATCCTTGATTTACGACAATGGGAACTGGAACTTCCATAACCCTAGCAAGGTGGTTGTTGCATAATCACCATGCTGATTAAGCAAATCCAGCTTCCTGGATTCACTTGTTAATATTCTGACAAGATTAACTTGTTAGAAGCCCCCTAGGAAGGGCACAAAGATGATCAGGTGACCTTGGAACAGTGCAACTTTCATAAATATGTGTTTGTTGACAATTGCCCAAATTTTGATCATGTGATCACAGGGTTCACTGCGGCAGTTGCAAGTGCAAGGATCAGTCAGAAATCACTTTTTTCAGTGCCATCAAAGTTGGAAGGGATCTTGGAGATCCTGTAGTCCAACCTCCTGCTCAACTAGGAGACCCTATACCAGTGATGGCTAACCTTTTCCAGACCAAGTGCCCAAAGCACGCACGCATGGATGCAAATGCATGTGCGTGCGGCCGAACCCCAAAATGCAATTCGCACAAGAGTCCTCCACATGCGCCCCTCCTCCCGTGCATGCACGTGTGGCCCCCCCACAGCATCCTGCACACCCACATGCGCCCCATGCATGCCTGTGCTGACCTCCTGCAGCACCATGCCACCCCGCACATGCGCGGCAGAGACCCAAAGACAGCTGGCTGGCAGGAGGTGTGTGCACATGTGTGGTGGAGCTGAATTGGGGTGACAGCTCACATGCCCACATAGAGGGTGTTGTGTGCCATCTTTGGCACGTGTGCCATAGGTTCACCATCATGGCTCTATACTATTTCAGACAAATGGCTGTCCAATCTCTTCTTAAAAACCTCCAGTTTTGGAGCACCCACAACTTCTGGAAGACCAGCCATTCCACTGGTCAATTGTTCTAACTGATCTTTTTCGGGATGGGGGGTGGGTACGTCTTGCATGATGTTTACCATCTGCTTGGGGGAGAAAAAAAAACTGCTTTTTTTTTATTGTCCCTGCCTGCAGATCTGTGCTGAACTGGACTGGGAATGGCATTCAAATAGCAGATACTATTGTCTAAATATATAAGCACATCCATGAGAGTTATTACTAATGCAGATTTCTCGGGTAAAAATGAACCAGCGATGGAGAACTGAGTTTTTAATTCTATTCCTGGAGGATTTGTGGTATGACAGCGTGGGGGAGTAGAAGAGTATGACAAGGATGGAATGCTATCTCAGGCCAAAAATAGCAATAGCTTTATTTGGCATAAGCAGTGGAAAATTTCTTACCCAGGGCATTCAGAATCATTGCATTTAAATGCTTTGCTGCATCTCCAACTGTGTCACAGCTCTCCACTCTCCAAAATGACACATAACACAACCCATTAAAACAAGCCACAGCGTAAACATTTGTGAAAGCCTCATACTTTCACAAATATTGTTCGTTTGTTCTAGATCAAATAAGAGAGAAGAGCACCACAAATCTCAAGAACAGAGATAATTGTTGCAGTAGAAACCTTTCCAACATGGGAATCTCATTTGCGGGGGTGGTGGGCAGCTCCGTTGGAACAATTGAAGCAGGAATATTGAACTCCTATGTCAAATTTCCTTATAATAAACAAACAAATAAATAAATAGGCATTGTTACCTACTGTATGCTTGGCAAAGAAGTATTATAGCCTATAGAGAAAGAGTGATGCAAAGACCATTGATTTCAAGAGCTTTATTTCCAAAAAATGTACTGTATGCATAGATTACAATGGCTTGTTTTATAAATATTTAAAAGAGAACATTGGGTAGAAAATGGATCACTTACCATCTTTTTTAAAAATTCATCTTCTGGCTATCAGAACTGTTAAAATAGTCTAAATGGAAAAATTTTTAGTCTGCTCCAACAAACCCCTCTTTATGGTTATGAATTAAGAGTACATAGCTGGAATCATTTAGCACAGAATTCTTGCTAGTTAATCATTTAAACAGTATCAACTTTATCCTCTATACATTTAAAGCATGCAGAGAGAGTGACAGGATAATAAACCATGTAGAAATACTCAGATTCAATGAGTAGGGTTCACATATCACTCTAGGTCATAGTGTGTGTTGGTTTTGGCTTAGAATATTAGGTAAAGTCATCCCCTGTGGTTGGCAACTCATGACTTATGTCTGAGCATAATATGTGAACCCAACAAATCAAGTCCTAGTGAACATGTAACTATGTTAACAATTTAGACTAAAAAATTAAGGAGCCTAGCTAGCTAGACCAAGGAAGATCATTGTTCATACCCGATTTGTGACAACAGTCGCAGTGGTGAAATCTGAACCAGTTTACTACCGGTTTGCTGGCTGTGCATGAGCAGTGCGCACCACGCACCAAATGTGAGGTGCACATGCACAATGCATGCCAAAAGGAGGCATGCAGTAAGTAGAACAGCGCACGAGGGGGGTGATCAGCTGTGGTGCGCAATTTTTTTTTTACTTTTAAAAGCATTGCTTTTAAAAGTAAAAAAAAGAAGCCTCTGACGATCGTGCTGCTCAGCTGTGATCGTCAGAGGCTTTTTTTAACCTTTTAAAAGCATTTTTTCTTGTAAAAATGCTTTTAGAAGGCTCTGACGATTCCAGCTGAGTTGCCTGATCGTCAGAGGCTTTTTTTTCTTTTAAAAGCATTTTTTTACAACCTCTTTGGTGAAGAGGTTGTAAAAAAAAATGCTTTTAAAAGTAAAAAAAAAAAAGCCTCTGATGATCGTGTGGCTCAGCTGGGCATGGGCTCGGGAGGGGGGCAGGGATTTTTGCTACCGGTTCTCTGAACCACCCGCCGACATCGCTACTGGATCGGGTGATCCGGTTCATACTGGGAGCATTTCACCCCTGAACAGTTGGCTCAAAAAATCTTTCATTTGATTCCTGTTCTTTCTGATGAATTCTATAAATGAAAGAGCAAGGGAGCAAGGTTTGTTCTTTCAGTCTCCATCCTTCCATCTGTTGTATGAGACTTAAAAGCACTGATTTATCATAACTGATAAGGATTACAGTTAGATAATCCCGTGATATCGTTTGAATACTTAAAAGCTATATAGATGCTAACTATGAAGTGGTTTCTGTTTTATATTAACTGATAGTGCCAGGTGTTCCACTGACGGTGACTAAATCAGAGTTCTTTCTCCAATTTTAATTTTAGTTTTGTAGTAACTAAGCTTTCTTTTTATTGCATCTTTATCAGATCCACAGAGTTAATGGATGGCTCAGCGGTTAAAGACTCTGAGCTTGTCAGTTGGAAAGTTGACAGGTTAGGTTTGAGACCTGAGTACCATGCGATGACATGAGCTCCTGTTCTTGCCCCAGCTCCTGCCCATCTAGCAGTTCGAAAGCATGCAAATGCAAGTAGATAAATAGGTACCATTTTGGTGGGAAGGTAGCAGCATTCCTTGCACCTTGGCGTATAGTCATGCTGGCTACATGACCACAGAAACCTCTTGGACAAAGCTGACTCCCTCTGCTAAGAAATGGAAATGAACACCGCCCCCTAGTGACTGGCAGGGAAAACCTTTGTCTTTACCTTTATCCACTAGGGATCATAAACTGAATGACAACTACTATGAGTTAGATGTGCCTATCCTGACTGGTTAGTTTTGTTATAACTAACATAATCCCATAAACATACACTGCTTTTTTTTTTACAGACATGAATATAATATATTCCAAAAAAGTGAAATACCTAGGGATAAATATGACAGCCAGAAGTACAATGATAAAAGAGAATAACTATGGACTTTTGGTCCAAAAAATAAAAGAAAATTTGGAAAAATGGGGAAAATTAAAATTGTCATTGTTGGGGAGAATTGCAGCAATAAAATCAAATATACTGCCAAGGCTCCTTTATTTATTCCAAACAATCCCAATAAAATTAGATAAGACATTTTTTAGCAATTTGGATAAAATAACTACAAAATTTGTGTGGGAGGGGAAAAATCAAGAATTAAATTAAGTATATTACAAGATGACAAAACTAGAGGCGGATTGGGACTCCCGGCATGGGAAAAATATTATAAAGCCTCAAGTTTAACATGGATTAGAGAATGGGTAACCCTGGAAAATCAAAGATTATTAAATTTAGAGGGTCACGATTTAATGAAGGGATGGCATGCCCTTTTATGGAGTCCCAGAAATAAAATATTTAAGTATTTTAATAACCATATTATTAGGAAATCATTAATTGACATATGGCAAGAGATAAAAAGCAAACGTTATATGAAAGTTCCTGGCTGGTTATCAACGATAGAAGCAATAACTCATCCCAATTTATTAGTAAAACAAAAACTGTTAAGATACAGAGAAATATTAGATTCACAAGGAGTATTGAAAACAAGGGAAGAACTTAATGAACAAGGAATATTAAAAGACTGCTGGCCATATTCACAAATAAAAATAAGATACAGAAAAGACCAAGAGGAGGGAGGAATAGACCCCAAACCAAAAAGATTAGATAAATTATTAGAATCCAAGGAAGGAAAACTAATTTCAAAAATTTACAAATACTTATTAGAATTCGATTTGGCAGAAGAACTGGTTAAAGGACAGATGATAGCATGGGCAAAGAACATCAGGCATAATATACAGTTAGAAGAATGGGAGAGGGTATGGGAAAATAATTATAGTATGACAAAATCGGCAGCATATAAGGAGAACCATTATAAGATGTGGTACAGATGGTATCTAGCTCCCTCGAGGCTAGCAAAAATGTACCCGAATGTAAATCCTGTTTGTTGGAAATGCAAACAAGCTCAGGGTACTTTTTTCCATGTTTGGTGGCTTTGCCCAGAAATAAAGAAATATTGGAAAAAAAAACATGGATAGTAGAAATAATAGATCAAGAAATTGAATTAGAACCAGAAGTTTTCTTATTAGGCATGATAAAAAGGAATATTAGAAAAGACATAAAATATTTAACGCTATATATAATTACGGCGGCCAGACTGGCATTAGCACAATTGTGGAAAACAGATCGTATGCCAACAGATCAGGAAGTAATTCAAAAAATTTATACATGCGCAGAAATGGATAAATTAACTCTAGAATTAAAAGACAAGGAAGACTCAAAATATTTTATAGTATGGAATAGATGGTATAAGTGGATAAACCAAAGGAAAAAAGGGTAAAGATAAGAATTAGGGGAAATTCAATCAATAAAGAATGCACCGTCAGATAGATAGAATAGGTAAATAAGTCACTGTTTGTATATATGTGTTTATATAATCACATGTATTTAGTTTGTTAGTGTAATTGTGGATTGAAAATGTAATTTTATGATTGAGAAAATTTGTATATTTTCTTTTTTAAAATATTTTTAAATTTAATAAAGTTTGTTTTTTAAAATTAAAAAAAAAGAATATAATATATTCCACCTTTGAACTTTATTATATCATTTTCCCAGTCCTAAAATTTTGTCAATCTCTTCCCTGAAATTGGAAAAGACAAGTTGGCATTGGCGTGCTGTCGTCTGCCAGTTCTTTAAATTATATCTTTGTCATCATCAATATAAAAGAGGCCTCTTTGAAATGTTTTGATCTTGACATTGTATTAAAAGCAGCAAATGCCAGGTAAAACCACAAGGCAGAAATGACAAAAAAGTGAAAAGGTGGGTGACTTAATCCAGGTTGGTTCATGGACCCAAAACAGTCCATCAGAGTGATTTAATTCCTGTTTCTTCTGTCCTCCAAAGATAAATATTGGAATGTCAGAATTTTTTTCCTCATAGTAATATATTAACATCTAGGTTTATGTTTCCTAATTTTATCCCTCTTTTTTATGGAGGGTAGATGGGTAAAACCACCAATCCACCTGACTCTTAGTTCTGAGAAAATTCCATTTAGGCATGAAGTTTGTTGATTCAATACTTTTAAAATATTTATAGTAACCTTTGTTTGATCTTGCATCCTTTTAAAATTCTTTAAGTGATGTCAGATTACCCAGGAATTTTTTTAAAATAGTACAACATTAATCTCTTTCAGCTAACATGACAGCCTCCTGGATATAAGCTTGGTTTTACATTTGTACGCAAAAATGTGCTTTGTTAGAACACCAGATTTGTTCCACAAGACCAAATCAACCAAATATGGCACGATCCATACCTAAAATGGAAGACTTAGGTTCTTCCAATTTTTTTAAATTTTTATTTTAAATATTTGATTTCTAGTTTTACTAATCACAAGATACTGCCTTTGGTTATCCTGTTCATTTATCTTCTTTTTTTTTTACATAAGAAAAAAACTATAAAGAGTGATGGGAATATGCAGTAGACTTAAAAGTCCTGAATTTGAATTATTGATTACATCCTGATTACATCTTAAAAGGTACATCCTGGTAGCTCTCGGGAGGAATTTCAAGCTTGACAGTTGTAAAAAATAAAAATAAAAAGTTTTTTTTCAAAATGATAGGGGTATGGGAATGGACTTATAAAGTTCCTTTCTTTTTCCCCAAAGAGTTTCAGAAGCTCTAAGTATGCTTCTTACAATTAAATTGCTTCTTGGGAATCCCTTCTACAAAAATCTGCTGTGCAGATGTTGAATAGCAAGGGAGGGACTAGGAGCAGGAAATACAGGTAGTCCTCAATTTAGGACCACAATTGAGCTCCAAATTTATGTTGCTAAGCGAGTCATTTGTTGTGAGTTTTGCCCCATTTTATGACCTTTCTTGCCACAATGGTTAAGTGAATCACTGTAGTGATTAAGTTAATCATACAGTGAATCTGGCTTCCCTATTGACTTTGTCACATGTTCGCAAAAGAGTGAACATATGACCCCGGGACACCGCAACAGTCATAAATATGAGTCAATTGCCAAGCGTCTGAATTTTGATTGCATGACCTTGGGGATGCTGCAACAGCCACAAGTGTGAAAAACAGTCGTAAGTCCCTTTGTCAGTGCCATTGTGCCTTTGAACAGTCACTAAACGAATTGTTGTAAATCAAGGATTACTTGTACTGCCGATTCTACCATTTGTGATGAAGTAGCCTCTTCCATTTCAGAACTTCAGTGCTTACTTGAACTTGGGGTGAAAAAGAGCCCGATTCTGATTCTAATTAGAAAAATGAAAGTGGCAGTTTTAGCACAGTAATGCAAGGCCACAAATATATGGTATGGATATAAACAGAATAATTGCAGAATAGAAAACAGAAGGCATCTGCTGATGTCCAGGTAGTAATCTTTGTCCTAACTGGTTCTTCTTATCGAGGCATTTTTAAATTTTAAATATTAGCCCGTCTCTAATATATGTGGTTTCTGAAGGTCGAAACATGGATTCTTTCTGTTTTTTAAAAAAGTTTGAAACTATGACATATGGTCGACATAATTATTGACCATAATATCATTTTTAAAATGATTTAAGTAATCTGGTCCAAAGGCAAATGAAAATAACTACCTTGCTGAAGCTCAGGAGGTTTGCCTGCTGTGAAATTCGATATATTATTTCAAGCTTAGGCAGTAGATACATAGATATGGCTTTGTCAAGAAGAAGGGGCTTGCAACGAAGTGGAAAAAAATATTTTGTTTGACTAATTTGAAACAGATCTCTATTTCTGGTCCCATTTGTTGCGCGATAGAGAAGCAGATTCCTCTATTGGGAATTGACGTAGTTAATTGTTAATAATTGGAATCAGATGTGAGAAATTCCAACTTGTACCTCCGCTCTTCCCTGAAGCAACATACTGAAGAGCAACCCATGAGATCTTCTCATGGTATGATTACGGTCCATCAGGAAGTGAAGTTAGATTGATGGATTTGTTTATTTGGTAAATTTACATACCCACCTACTACATAGATGCCACTCTGACTGGATTTCAGGGAGTGGTGGGCTTTTTCTGTGGCTTCTCGGAACTTGTGAAATTCCTAGGCACAGAAGATATATATGGTCCAATTTAAGATTCATCTTTGAAGATACTTTATTAAAGGTGTTTTGTTTTTTTCATCAGAAACTTTTAGAGGAACGAAATGATGATCAGCTCTTGTAAGAATCCCTTATATTTCTTATTGTGAGAACAATGTGCTCTGTAAAATACACTAATCTGCTTATTCTTTTTTCCTCATAAATAAATATCTCTCTGCTATACCTGCCTGAGCATTGCTCACCCTTTTATAGCCCTTACTTTGTTTTATCTTTGCATCTATGCCGTTTACTCCACCGAACTGTAAGAATTATCTTATTTAGCAATATATTACACAAGGGTGGTAGATTCCTTTTGGTAGCAGTAAATAATTTGTTAGGGATTTATTTATTTAATGTATCAAGGGACTTATACTCTTGTTAAAAATGTTGTATTTATAACTGCATAGAATACTGTTTTTTATTGTAACAGTTGGTCAAGGACCATCATAAAGATATTTATTTCTAAATAAGCACATACATAATAGAATATGACTTCTAACTGCAGATGAACACAAGTTTTAACATCCCATCAACATACAATTTGCAACATTATTCCTTATTCAATTTTCCGGATATGTTCCCATTCCATAGTTTTTCTCAGAACAAATAAAAACTTCTGAAGCATCTAAAATTAATTAGTCCTTCCAGTGCATAACATGCACACTTCTTTAAAACTGTACTTTTTTTTTGATATAAATGTTTTTCCACTATCCACATAGTGAATATTAATTGACATATTTTGTCAATAGGATTACAGGAATAAAAGGAACTAAAGTTATACATTATATTTCATAATGGCAGCTATGGGAGGAGATGCTTGGTACAGATTTGATTAATATTTTGAAATCATGACAGGCAAAAATAGATTGGAAAAGAAAAGGAAAACTTGTCGCAATACTCACCTTTTTTTTAACAGTTGCTTCTTGTCATCTTTGGACCTGACAACAACAACAACAAATCTTGAAGAAACAAGCTCCAGCCGCCAGCCCTGTTTTTCTTCTGCAAGATTCTTTTGGTTTTGGAAAAAGCAGCCAAGAAGGTCACTGTTTCCTTCAGATCTCAAACAGCTGACTCCCTTCCTATTTGTCATTACACACAGCTTGCAAATTGGAGTGCAAATCCCTGTAGGAGGGTCTTAAACAGGCTTATACTTCAGAAGCAGGGAGGAGACATTTCAAAGATCTGGACATTTGAGAAACTACAACTGGCAAAATAACTTGTCCTGTATTTTCCATATAAAAGAACTGATCCTGTGGAACAATTGTTTACTAAGTCGCATTTGGCTGGTTATATGGTATTGAATAAAGCAAAAACCAAACCAGCTACATGGTAGCTTAGTAAAATGTATGAAGTCAGTCACTGATTTATAAGGTGCCACATTCTATGGGCCCATCCAAATTGGGCCATCTTTCCATAAATTCTAGCTTCTGGGTGGCCATGAAACTTGGCTTTTCAGAATACCATCTTCCTTTGGCAGCATTTTGATCAAGGTTGCCTAGGTGCCATCTCTGTCTGAGTTGGATCCAAGAGTTCAGATTACAGCTCTCCATTTCAAGCAAGGTGTTTGAAATGTATTGGGGCACAAACCCATTTCTTTTTGTCTTTTAAAAAGCAACTACCACTGCAAACCATAGTGATGTCACAGGGTTGCTCTAATCACCCAAATGCTGCAATTAATTACATAATTGCTTCAGGAAGTCTGATGCAAGTACACAAGTCACAGCACTATTGTGATTACATCATCACACACATAGTTTTGCTTCCCTTGGGTTGCCCAACCCATACATATATATTCAGGATAGCTGCTCCTGGCTGCCTTCATATTTTGAAGTAGCTGTGCATGTGCTCACAAGCACAACATTTGGAAGTTTCTAGAGGCAGCTGCGAGACTTTTCCTGGGGGGAAAAGATTCAGCTGTTTTCATAATTTGGTGTCAGTCCTCCTGGGTAATCCAGATAGGAAACACGATTAAATGAGCTAAATCTACCTAATTGTAAGGCTACATTAACAGAGCAAGTCTGAAGGTAGAAATTTCCCGTTCCCACTTTTAACCACTTGACAGTTGGGCAGGTCTTTCCTAAGTTTCGTTCTCTGCCTGTTAAACAATTGTAGGCTCCTCCCCCTTGTCTGATTTTTCCTAGGCAGCATATTTTCTCTTGTCTTCAAGGTTGCAGGTTTAGATTTGGCTAGTCTAAAGAAAAGAAGGGACATGATAGCAGTATTCCAGTATTTGAGGGGCTGCCACAAAGAAGAGCGGGTCAACTTATTTTCCAAAGCACCAGAGGGCAGGACAAGAAACAATGGTTGGAAAGTAATCAAGGAGAGAAGCAACTTGGAATTAAGGAGAAACTTCCTAACAGTGAGAACAATTAACCAGTAGAACACCTTGCTGTCAGAAGTTGTGGGTGCTTCATCACTGGAGGTTTTTAAGAAGAGACTGGACAGTCACTTGTCTGAAATGGTATAGGGCTAACCTTTTCTGGACCGAGTGCCCAAAACGTGTGTGTATGAACCCCCAAAATGCCCCCACATATGCGCACCCCACGCACATGTGCGGCAGAGACCCAAAGACCAGCTAGCTGGTGGGAGGCACGCACGCATGCGTAGCAGAGCTGAACTGGGGCGACGGCTTGCGTGCCCACAGAGGGGGCGCTGCATGTCATCACAGATATAGGGTCTTCTGCTTGAGCAGGAGGTTGAACTAGAAGACCTCCAAGATCCCTTCCAGCTCTGTTCTGATTGAAGTCAGGTCATCCAACGGCCTCCCATCGACCTGTGCGCTCCCACAGAGAGGGCCTCATCAGGGTGCCATCAGCCAAACAATGTAGGCTGGTGACCCCCAGGGGGAGGGCCTTCTCTGTGGGGGCACCTACCCTCTGGAATCAGCTGCCCCCCGAGATAAGGAGAATCCAAGACCTCGGTGCCTTCCGCCGTGCCCTTAAAACCTTCTTTTTCCAGCAAGCCGGGCTGGCCTAACCCTTTTTAAAATGTTTTTAATTGTTTGTTATTGTTTTTAATTATGGGGCCAAATTTATATATATCTTTTTAATTGTATTTTAATGTTTGTAGTTTATGCTTTTACTTGGCTGTTCACCGCCCTGAGTCCTCAGGGAATAGGGTGGTATACAAATTTAAAAATAAATAAATAAATAAATAAAATCCACATATTCCATTTCATTTGGAGAGATACTTCTTTTGGGCTTGTTTGAATACTTTGTGTGCTTCAAGCTCATCCAGGTTTTTCTTCAGTTTATGGTTGTAATGGGAATGCTTAAATAGTATTCCTTAACTAGAATTGAACAACCTTTCAGCTTTCAAAGCACAATGATCACTGTTAGTTCCACTTTAGTTGCAAATTACTGTACTCTGCAATCTGCAGAATAAATTACTTGTACACATGGGTAGAAATTATCGTACAACATTGGAGCTTTCTTCTAGTCGTCTTCTACTCTTCTAAAACAAATAGTCAACTTCCAGAGTTCTCAATGCAAAATGTTGGGTTCCATCCTAACTGCTTTTCCAATTTATTATATTCATGCCCTTTTTCAAACTCACTTCTGCATGTAACCTTTGCAGTTATTTTCCATATGACAAAATATATAAAAATTACCAGTATGATTTCTTTTATCTGTTGCCCCAGACAAATTTGAAATACAGATTCATGCAGGGACCCAGGAGTGTCAAATAAATGCCTATGGTTATCTGGTTTAAAAAGAGTTATCAGAATTGCAATTTTGATACCTCAGGGTATTAAAAAGATAAAATAAATATCCCAACGTATTAAAGTTGGTTCTTCTTGCTTAATATAGCAAAAGATCTGTAATCCTCTAGTTAAAATAAATATATGAAAACCTTACTTGCTTTAATTAAAACATTTTAAAAATATAATTTTATTCAGAAGCCCTTACAAAATGCATTATTGTATATATATTTAGGATAGATAATCATATAAAGCTATATCCAGTAACAAGTTAAATATGCTGAACAGGCTTGTGTAGAATGAGAGTCGGAGTATTTGAGTAATTAGCTTCTGTCATCTTTGTTTTTTTATCATCGGCTTAGTGCTATGCTGTTTGGATGCAACACGGAGGCACAGAACTGATTACAATACATCCCACAGATGCTAAAACTCATAGTTACATTTAGAATAAAACAGTGAGACTACTAGCTAATGTACACGTAAAGCTGGCATGTGGTGATTTACTTGGCTGCTTTTACCATTTGGCAAGTAATATATTAGCAACTCATCCTTATCTGCAAATGATTGAGCACTCCATGCAAATTTGAGCTGGAACCTGGGGTGATACTGCTGCTTCCCAGTTTTCAAGTGATTTTAAATCACAACCCTGTCTTTTTAGTTCTCTGATCCTTTCCAGTATCTAAAGCAAGATCAGAACATGAATACACTAGTACTATTTTCATTAAAAGGAGACCCTGAAAGTTAATGTTGGAATTTAATGAAAAACTCTGAAATATAAACACACACACTCATATATTGATTCTGAACCTTTTACATTTGGATATAACTGGCAGTGGAGGGGGGGATGTTTTAAAAATTTGATTATTATGCATTCTTCTCGATCAGTAGATCAAAATTGAATTGCAATGTTTAATTTGTAAGAACAAACGAAAGAAAGCATAGGAATACAGAATAAGGCAAGACTGTTCTCCAATGGAAACTTGGAAGCACTGAGGAAAGCAGAATACTGAAGAAAAGAAAATTGGAACTGATGTAAGTAGCAGAGATCTGATCCAAAGTGAAGGGCAGAGAGAGAAAATGGGAGGGACAGGCACAAAATATGCCACAAAGGAGAGGATACTAGCATGGAGCAACTGGGTACATAATGGAGGTGTGGGAAAACCAGGAGAGTAAGAGTTGGATAAGGCAGGGAGAAAAAAAAATCTGTCCAAGAGGAAGGAAGGAAGGAAGGAAGGAAGGAAAAAAGAAATCTCATTTTGAGACAAGTAATTCTGTTATGCTTTTATGACTAAACACTCTTCCATGGAATCCAGTTTGGTAGAAGACAACTCTGCTTCCCTTTGAATCCAGCTGTCACAATCCTATTTTGTGTCTTCATTTAAAGCCAGCAGATGCAAATTACGTTACAAATGCAGACAAGACATGAAGAAACAACATCAATTCTGGCATTATAAAACCTGCTAATATTGTAGTATCCAAAAAGCACTACCATATTACTGCATATAAACTGGGCCGGGGGGGGGGGGGGGAATCAGGAATTACATGAGTGTCGATAAACCAAATGCTTACTACAGTGTTAAAGTCTGATGAAATTATACTGCTAACACAAATGGATAGAATGAAAGAACACAGCAGCACTTTGTACAAAAATAATAAAATCCTCCAAAAATAGCATTAGGATGAAATAACTCACTCAACAACACTGAGAAATACAGAAACTGATGAAAGTGCAAGTGGTAAGTTTTCCTTCTGAAAGAAGATAAAATCCTATTATTATGGATATTACTGAAGAAGCATCTTGCAATAAGCAGCCATAGATCCTATTTAAGTCCCTTTACTATAAAAATACGGCACGCTAGCAAAAAGATAAGCTAGAATATATTGGCCTCCAAAGAATTTTAAAAAAAAATTGGTGAGCAAATTTTCTCTCCCCCCCATAAGATCAAAATGATATATCTTTATATTTAATATAAATTTAATTTTATTTAATTTATAGTATTTAACCTTTTTCAGTAACTTTAAGAATACCAGACAATTTTGGCCACTCCCATTTTCTTCATAATAATATGGCTTTGACATTGCCACTGTAAGAGCTTATGCATATTATATTGTATTCTTCACCAAATAATCATGCGTGTTGAAAAAAAGTTACAGTGATGGCTGTTGAAAGACCAGGTTATTTTTTAAATCACAGCCCTGTCTTTTTATTTCTCTGATCCTTTCCAGTATCTAAAGCAAGATCAGAGCATGAATAAAAAGGAGACGCTGAAAGTTAATGTTGGAATTTAATGAGAAAAATCTATCCATGTGGTTGCTAAGGGCTGACACTGACTTCATGGCACAGAATCGATTAATTTTAGGGGGGTGGGGGATTGCTATTTCCCTCTTTCTCCAGTGGACAGTTCTGGAGAATAACATACTAAACATACCAAAACACAGTCTTGTATGTTACCAAATGTTTCAGAATGATTCCATGTTCAGGCAAGTCACGGTTTTGCAAAAATACTAGATTTTCTAAGGGGGGAGGAAAAACC